GAATTTGCATCATGAGTCCGTAGCGTGTGTTCCTCGAAGGATATAATATAACCTGGGTGTCTTCAAGGACCGAGTGAATGGGTTGCTTATGGGACGACGTGCTCCATCGTAGACCGCGTCATCGTCCACCACCAGTCGTAGACAAACTATAGTAAACAAATGATTGTACGGATGTAGGATGACTAACATTTTCGTTAGTTTTTCTAAACAATGAAAAATGTTATGTCTCTTTTGAGTTGCAAACAAAAACTTACAAACGATACGATTTGTAAATATCCTATGATGTCACTAGTGTCTCGTTAGTATTTGCTAGCTTAACGGGTTACCGGGGCTCCGGTTCGAAGTGCAGGAGAAGGAACGGGGTGGTTTTTAGTCAATAAGAGTCTGACACTTCCTCTAGCTTAACCTAGGTGGGAGCAGTCATTAGATGATTTTCCCCCTTTAAAAAAAGCCTAGGTTTTTTTTGAGGGGGTAAATCATCAAAGTCAAAGAATTTATTTCAATTAAACCATAATTTGATACTTTTGAGATGTCAACAAATCGATACATCATCATCATCATCATCAACAGCCTATAAGTGGCCACTGCTGAGCAAAGCCTCTTCTTACACGGAGAAGGTTTGAGCATTAATCACCACGCTTGCTCAATGCGGGTTGGCGATTACAAACTTATAATTAGAATATATAAGCCCAGATTTCCTCACGATGTTTTCCTCCACCGTTTGTCAGTGGTGTCTAAATAATCTCAGAAAGTACATATAACTCGGGACAAGTCACATTGGTACTTGCCGTTGGTAGGTTTCGAGCCCGCACCCTCATGCATGAGAAGCGGGCGTCTTAAACCTCCAGGCCACCACGACATTTCAACGGGCAATCTCTACATAGTATAAAAAAACTCGCTATCCGCCGTCTGTCTGTCCCTATGTACGCTTAGATCTTTAAAACTACGGAACGGATTTTGATGCGGTTTTTTTAATAGATAGAGTGGTTCTTAAGGAAGGTTTATATGTGTAATACATGTCTACGACAACCGTGCGAAGCCGGGGCGGATCGCCAGTTCAAAATAAATAATAGTCTGTCAGGCTGTCCGTCAGAGAAACTAGGTGCTCATTCCAAAATGTAGATTCGAAGGGAGAAGAACGAGCAAGAAACTCCATTCGTTACTCTTTTAAAAGAAGTATGTTCTAGAATGTCTCTGATACATATTCCATCTTGACTTCTTCCGCCTTGGGAGTGAGTGTCAGACTCTTACTGATAAAACACCACCATGTTCCTACCCTGCTTCTAACCGAAGCCCCGGTCACCCGTTACCGATAGTTCAGTAGCGTAACTTTTTTTTTAAGGGGGGGAAATCATCGAATGTCTTATCCCGCCTGGGTGAGGCAGGAGGGAGTGTCAGACTCTTACTGACTAAAGACCACCCCGTTCCTACTCCTGCCCTCCGAGCCGGAGCCCCGGTGACCCGTTAAGTTCTCCACGGCCAGTTGCCTAGCTTGGTTAGACAAAGTACTTAGTTGTCAATATCTATGGAATATAGAAATTCTAGAATGGTTCCCGGTATGATGATAAGTTGGTCCCTTATGGAGACCCACAACGTAACAAGTGGAATATGGTTAAATAGTACATTAGCAACTCTATTTACCCCTTTGAGGTATTAAAGGTGGGATTAATCTTAGGCTGCCTCGTTGGCCGAGTAGTCGCAAGTGCGACTCTTGCAAGGATTCGATTACCGGATCGGTCATAGTATTACTGTTTTTTTAGTCTCATCTATAGCACGGGGTTGGAATTGTGCCCGGTATATGGCAATGGCTCACCCCCTACTACATGGGACTCATAACGTAAATAGTGAAAAGTGGGTGTTACATTGTACAGTAGCATTAAGTGCTGTAAATGTGCACAGAGGTGCGGACAGATCGGGTAGACAGAGGTCTACCCTTTCGGGGGTAAAAGGCGTGATGTTATGTATTATTAATCTTATTATTATTAATATTATAAATGCGAAAGTTTGTGTGTTTGTCTGTACGTTTGTTACTCAGTAACGTCAAAACGGCTGAAGGGATTGAGATAATATTTGGAACAGGGTAGATAATGGTCTGGGTTAACACATAGGGTACTTTAAATTCCACAGGAATGCAACAAAACTGTGGAATGATCTGTCGTCGGCGGTATTTCCGAACCGATACGACCTTCAAACCTTCAAGAAAAGATCGTACTCCTTTTTAAAAGGCCGGCAACGCACCTGTGACTCTTATGGTGTTGCGGATGTGGGCGGCGCTGATCGCTTACCATCAGGTGACCCGTCTGCTCGTTTGCCGCCTATTCCATAAAAAAAAAAGCAGAAGTCGCGGGCGCTAGTATATGATATGTGAACCCATTGACCGTATACTATCAGACCATGGTAACTGTATCGGTTCAGTATCAGTTACGTTCCAGGTCAATAGACTATTAGGACACTTTCTATAATTACTGTAGCCTCATATTACTGGGGAAAAAGTGTCATATAAGTGTCGGAGAGCCATGCTTCGGCACGAATGGGCCGGCTCGACCGGAGTGATACCACGGCCGAGCAGACGTGAAACAATGCTTGTGTTGTGTTTCTTCGTGTGATTGAGGTTACCGGAGGCCGAATTACCTATACCTAGTCCCCGTCTCCCGAATCCTCCACAATCCTCAAATTCCTAATTCCCAAAAGGCCGGTAACGCACTTATAAGACTTTGGTGTTTCGAGTGTCCATGGGCGACGCCGATTGCTTACCATCAGGTGATCCGTGTGCTCGTTTACAGGCTTATACCGGCTTATATATAAAAAAAAATAACTTCATATAAGTCATCTTCATCAACGGTGCGTCTTCAAAACCGTGAAGGACTTAACGGGTTGCCGGGGCTCCGGCTCGAAGTGCAGGAGTAGGAATGGGGTGGTTTTTAGTCGCTAAGTGTCTGACACTCCCTCGCCACACCCAGGCGGGACTAGTCATTCGGTGATTTTCCTCCCTTAAGAAAAAGCATACATAGGGACA